TTTTCCTCGATGATCCATGTATCTGAGGCATGCTTTAAAGGTTTGTATTATGGAAACTCTGACTTTGGCTCGACAAGTAAACCTGTTAATGTGGTGCCCACGTGTAATCGTATGCCGAAAACCGTTAAGGCGTTTTGACACGATCATTATATATTGTGATACAGTACGCATGACGCGCACGTTTCATAGTTTATGACAAAATCTTCAAAACACTTCAGTAGACTTCTGTCCCATCTGATCGATGGGACACCATGAAAAACGAATAGACCACTGAGCCTGATTGTTCGAGCTAGCTTTGTTGTGTTGCTTTTGCTTTGAATTTTTGCATCAATATGATTAACGCAGAAAACGTCAATTTCCTCGAAAGTTATTAAACGGTTTCCAATACCACAAAAGTAAAAGTTTTTCATTTGAAACAGAAATATACAAAACCGACTGACCGAGAATAATTTGGGTGTGATTGTATAAAGGGCATAAACTCTAAACTCGGGTTATCTTCTCGGAAGCTCAAACGCTGGCACATGATCACGGTCGTTGGAGACACTGTCTAACCCGTCTGCCCCTGCGACTTCAAAGGATAGGCGGTCATCTAAACTGACTGATTCACCGACCCACTGAGAGATATACAAACTAGATGAGTGTTCATTAAAGCATTGTTCTGTCATTTTTTAGAATTCACCGGACCCACTAAAACAATAGTATCACTTTACAGAGTCTATACGTGTATTTATCAAAACTCCTCATTTTGAATAGAGCCAACAAGCCACTTCAGAGTTTCGATAGAAGTCTGACGACACGACGTATTAAAATTCTCGTGGCGTGGTGGCACACGGATTTCGGAGAATTGCCTAGGATCCCCGAAGGATAGGGTTTGATTCTGCTCTAGGACAATTTTTGTTTACCTGACGCTGCTTCACACCGGAGTCACTCGATCGGTTGAGCGACCGACTCAGAATCGAGAAGCCCTCTATTCGAGTGCTCATTAGGGTCACTCGCTCTTCCTCCTTCCGAGGTTGGTAAATAAGCATAGAGCATAGGGTGTCAAACGCCTTATGAATGAATGAGTGCGACGCATGCGCCATGTACAGCGTGAACTCCGTCGGAAGAATACAAAAGTAAGCTTCTGTTCTCTTACCTTTAACGAAGAGGATTGTTCCAGGTTCGAGCAGCACTTCCAACGGGCAGCTGGCAGCAGAGAGTGCCATTCTCGCAACACGATTACAACCTCTGATCGTTCCTCTCCGTACGAGTTTCACCGCATAAACTGCGGCAATCGATATACGATCGCGTACAGCTTCATACACCGACCGACACTATAGGTTTTCATTATTCAGACGGCCATTAGCTTCCTCAAGAAATTTGCCTCACAAATCGATATATCGCTGGCAACTGCGTTTCTCAAGCTTGACGCCAATGTAAATTGCCGGTTTAACGGTCGTCAACTGCTTTTCAGGCCTGCGATAGAAGAAGTTCGAAAAAACTCCATTTTGGAGGGTTATGTTTCGCAGAAACACCGAAATGTTCGATGCAAAGCATTGAGACGATTCATTCTTTGAAAATGAATGACTGAGAGATTTAAGATCTGAACAAAGATGTTTTTGCGAACTTCGAACGTTCGATCGACGAAGCAGAAGCAGCCAAAGGCGGAGAAATGAAGTGCTCTTCGCTTTCGCTTCGAATCCTCCGAACGGACCTGCCAGAAAAAGGATGCACCGTCACAGCAAATGAACATGCTCCAAAACGAACAGGCACAGGGGATATCTGCGTGATCAATTCACATGACTTTGACTGTGACAAAAAAATATCTATCAACAGACGCCTTTTTGTAGTCGACGACGAAAGAAGGACACAGTAGATGGTACTTGACATTCGTTGCACTTCTCCGTCAGATGGTGGATGAAATGCATTTGGTAAATGGTGGAAAAGCATGTACGAAAACCGGCCTATTCCCGCGTGTTATTACTTCGAGGTCTTTCTAAATACAACTGAAAATGACGCGTGTGAAGACTATGCTTTAGTGACAAAAGCGTAATTGCTATCCATGAGATTTCCAGAATCGCCTTTGTTCTTGCTGATGTATTCCGAAAGAATTTTGGCAAGAAAATTGTACTTCCTACATGAAGGTATTCTGGCCTCACATCGTCTTTGCCTGGACAAAGAAATGACTATTGGAGGAAAGCGTGGCAACCTCTGATATGTCTACGTTAGAAGATCAGGCAGTTGTCGAAATTTATGCAGATCGTGCACTCTGATCACGATTAATAATTGTTATTAATCCTTCGCATTTCACCGCACTTGCAATCCATTGTTTCGGGCGTATATCTCGTTCCACCGCTTGCAGGCTTTCCTTCTGCTCCGTAGTCACTCGTCATCGAATTTCTTCCGCATCTTCTTGCACGCTGCAGTGCATACGCAGTCCGTTTTCCCTGCGGCTTTCAGTTCAGAATTCTTTCAGCAATTATCTGCCTTGTTGAAGGATTGATGCATTAGTTCGTCGTTGACTTTGCTGCACGGCTTAATATTCTAATAGTAATCCACATGGCGTTCGTAAAATGATCATCCCTCGCTGATGTTCATTTCAAGGTTCTTTAGAGGCAGCTGGAGTTTCAATTTCAGGCACAATCGAAAAACGAGCCGGGCATTTAGCTTCATACCTGTAGTTATATCTTCAATTTGACCCTGAGCTTTGAGTTGAGGTGAAGCACCTGCGGCAAAGGGTAGTTAAGGTAGACCACAGGCATCTGTTTAACAATAGGCAGAGCAGTTACGTAATTTTCATAATGCAGCCTATGAACCTACATTCATGATGTTATACTAAGATATAAAATATAAAACTTAAAGATTCAGAAACGCCATATTTGTCGAATGACCCATTCCAGTAACTAAAGCGCTAAAAGAAAATGGATGTGTCAGTTCAGTTATCGTCTTGTCGCTTAGACGAAGTATTAACCCTGCATCATCTGCATGAAAGGCGAAACATGCATCATAAAACGATTGTACTCAACTGCAAAGCGTATATTCGATAGAAAAGCCAACTCCTCTCCTGCCCTTTGCGGATCTTAAGTTTCTGTTTGAATCGCCCAATACGTATAATTGCTTAATGCCCTGTGTTACACATTCAGGCAATCAGATTTAAGGAAACTCCACTTGCTTTCTATGGCTGCCCGCGCTCCAACAATGTGATGAGACGGCTGCGTGTCACTGGCCGTCAAACGGTCATACTTTAGCAGCTATTAGAAAGGCCAAATAGCCTAACGTGGACTTGCTGGACAACAACTTCGTTTCACACAACGGAATGGATTACCCTAGATTCAATAAGGTTCTCATGGCAATGTTGCAATATGTACATGTTTCATTCATTCGAAATATACTCCACTTACTCCGTTAGCCATCGTCACCATATGACACGATGGGTCTGTCTCACTTTTCTTCAAATCGTTGGTGCGCCGCGCACCAGTGATCTTCAACGAAGTGCTGTGAATGGCATGGAGTACAAGGAGCGGATGGGAATCTTGATAAAACAGATAATGAATGGAGACCACCTTGTACGAAAGAATGAGTTAAAGTAGCTGTAGTAAATCTGTCCCGTCAAATGATGATATTCTGGCAGATTCAGCCAGTGGGCTTTCGTTGTTCTTGTGTGCTTTATGTTTATATATACTGCAATAATTTTTTGCTTCAGTTTTGATATGCAATAAGACCGCTTGGAGAATCACTGTTTGCAATAAATTTCTTACGTCACCACTTAATTCCAATCGAAAATCAAGCAGTCGGTCAGATACAACTCCATGTTCGTATATATAGCTCAGAACATCGATGTTATATAACGTGTTTATTGATAATCAGAAAAAACTGTCAATGAAACTTAGAGACCATCGCCTAGTGTGGATTGATAAAACCACCCAAAAATTGAAATTCATTCATTAAATATATTTTGTACGAACCGCCCTCTGACACATGAAGACAAATGTTCAGAGTTTTCGTCAAAAGTTCAGTTTCAGTTTCGACGATAAACTTAATTAAAATAGCACATTCAGCGACGGATATCCATTATAAGAGACCCAGGCCATTATCGAAACGAGAACTGAAGCTAGTTTATGGAAAAAAATGTTCAACAACGAGCATCCACCATACTTTGAGCTTATTCAGTGCCGTTCAAAGGCATCAGCTATCTGCTTCTTCATTATTTTGTCGATTAGAAACAAAACATGCCACAAGATAGCAATCACCCAAAGGATCAGAACACTTAGCAATACAGTGACAAGATGTCCCCCTGCACGAACAAATCTAATGTCAGTTGATCGCAGTCAAGATGATGGCCAGCCGCGTTCGTTACAACTGAAATCACATACAGTCATGCAAATACTGTTTAATAGGGTAAAAGACGTTGCCTGCATTATTGCAATTCCAATTAGTCGGCCTACGAACTCTGTTTCTCATACCCGGGGCAGTCGGAGTAGTGCTGTCGTAATGGGTAGAACGACTTCGGAACATAAACGATATTCATGAAACTGCAACCATGGCCAAAATTCCTGGAATCAAACCGAACCGCGCAGACTGGACCTCACTCTGTATCATTAAAAACAAAACGGTCAATCCGACGTTTACGAGGTAGTTACAAGACAAGATGCAAGTTTGTGTGATGCAGCTGTGCTAAAAAAATTGCAATCCCGTTCATGTACTGCTTTGTAAATCTTAGCCGAAAACGCCCCTGAACGGCGCAGACCTGAGCGACATTCTGTTCCAATGGATTGATCTTCATGCATATACTGTGCTTGCCCTTACATCTCTTTCTGGTAAAACATAAGTATATCTTGCCGCGAAGAGTGTTCTCAAGGATTATTAAAAACTGAATTTGAAAATGTAAAATAGCTTAAGAACGGATTTTATTCGGCTTTCAGTGCATATCTCAACTCATAACCTAACTCAACCGTACGTTGCGTGATAAGCAACGCAACCGAACCGCATGCACTTGATGACATTCAAACGATCGCCGACGGTCATGAAGCCTTTTCCTTCAATTGGGATTCGGTTACATTTAGACTAGCAGCAGCTTTTGCTGAAATCTGATCGATTCCCTTTATCGTCTGCTGTAGCCTGATTTTTTGGTGCTCCAGCTCCAACCAAGCCGCTTTCTGTTTATGCTGCTTTACTGCATCTTCAACTCGGTCTTCGATCATTTTCTCCGTCAAAACACCGTCGCGTGAGGCATATGCAGACGCCTGAGAATCACAAGATTATACCGTATCTGAAGGATAAACAACGAAATATTACCTGCCAAGACACCGCTAATTTTGCTATTTCTCTTCCAGACAGTCCGTCGGTCTGCGTCGCGATCTGCTCGCACTTCGCAACCCAGTCGAAACTGGCAAGCTTCAAACGATTCCATCTAAACTAATATTGGTTATTTAGGGGGCGAGGGAGGGAAAGTAACAATTACAGTATGTTTACAACCTACTTTACATTAGTGAAAACTTGCTAACGGATTCTTTTGCTTAATTATGCTGCAACAGTATGCCATATGCTGACTACATACAATCTGCGTTCTAGAGAAAGACTCAATTCAATTCTGTGAACAATAAAAAACGTTCAAAACAAACTCCGTCCCTTAAAAGTGCTAAAAGTGCCACTATGGTAAGTGATATGCAAGAATCAATGGCAAATCTCACAGTGAGGTAATTTATCATACTGATAACATAATCCTCCATATTCTGGGTACGGCTGTTGTTAACTGGTATAATGCATAATGTGCAAACCCAAAAGCAACTGTAAATCTGAATTTCGTCCTAGAGAATATTTATTCATCTTCGAATCAACTTAATGTTGCTCCCTCTAGTAAAAACCCTCATTTTAGCTTCTCATTAAAACGCTCATTCAGCATGTTTCCTCGATAATTAAAATGAGATCCCCTTAAAGTAGATCGTGTATCTTTTCATAAAAGTTGAAGCGGAACGAGGCACTGGCTTGAACTTCAACTTCATGCATAATTTACATTAATAAATATGCAGTTTGTCTTATTAAGAGAGCTAAAACAAATTAAAGATGGATTGAAGAGAGCGCGACCACATTCCAATCATGAGCAATAACCGCAACGATCTGATGGTAGTGAACCACCTACAAGAACTGGTATACTAGTCCCCGTTTAGATGACGAGGATTACTAAAATCGGATTCATGGCTTGGATGGTGAGACCAGTGTAGTTTTGTCAGGTTGCACAGATGCGGAAGCTATAGACGCATGGAAGAGAATATAGAGCCCTAGGTAGAGGCATGGAGTAGAGGAAATGGAATGAAGGTTGTACTGAGGCTAGCGGCCCAATTTAGAGAAGTATGTAAGAAATTTAAGTTAAAACCAGCCTCGTTCCGTTTGAAACTTCCTTGGACGACACATCATCTATTCTAATATGTGCCACGGGCAGGCACTTTGAAAAATGAAGATATATATCGTCTCATATTATGATATCCCCTAATTTATCACCCATTTAAAACATTTTTTACAAGTTGTTTATGATGACTGCACTTGTCGGAACGCTGCATAACTGGGTTACAACGATGACAACATTTGCAAATTGCCTTGCCCTTGCCTTTCTAGTGACGACCAAATGCCAACCATGGATCAGATTGTTTGCTCTAGCAGGTCAATTAATTATAGATCAGCTGAAGGTGATCAGCGTAAATGGCCACAGCCCCTTGGTGTAAAGTCCTGTTGCTAACCAGGAAGTCTGAGGATAATGGCGGTGTACGTTCAGCATATCGAATTGTCAGATGTTTAATTGTAAATACAACAAAAAGTTTTCCAAAGAACCAGACTTCGATCAGACAGGCATATTAGTTTTCGTCATGTCATAAGGAACGTTATCTCAGCTAAGAACGTATTCAAGACTATCAATAAATACAGACTTTATCTCCTCCATAAAGAGTTCGCTTCTGCTTAAGATTATAGATGCAGTTGTATACCTATTTGCTTATACTATGATCCATGATGACGAGCAAGTATAAAAAACTTCAAATTAGTCCGAAATCAATACCAAGTTAGTCCAAAACTCATCACACACACAAAAGACAGCATTCGACAGAAATGCCAAGGTAAGATTTTAGAGCATTCACTGCACGACTATGCACGTACCTTTTCTTTTGTGTAGCTGGTAACGCGATGAACTTGTTGAAGTAGAACAGCAGCATCCGCTTCCTTTCATCAACGGTCGGGAGCGGAAATTCGACCATTTCATCAATTCGATCGTTGACAGCCCAGTCGAACTGCTCCGGCTGATTACTGGCCAGAACCATTGTGAATCTTAACGAAAACAAGGTAGTCATATGATAACAACGAAAAGGAAAGCAAAAAATTGACCAAGACCCTACAGTACAGGCACAAACAGTTTTTAAATCGCTACCGAAGACGCAAACGGTTCATACAGAAGATATAATTTTTTGCATAAATCCGCTTACCAAAAACACGAATATACCAGTCTAAACTGGAAAAGAATAAGACACCAGTTTAATCTAACATTTAAATAGATGATAGAAATAAAGTTTATAAATTAAAATGAAAGTAAGAGAAGATTCACAAACTAATCGAAAGAAGAAGCTGGACGGTACGAAGGAAAAGAAAGGAAAAAACACGACTATCAGAGTGCAATGTCAATCGTCAACGAGAAACGCAGCAGAGTATACGCGACAAGGAGGCACTAATCGTCCAGTTCTCTGATAATGTCAACCGTGATAAAGGTTACGATTTTTGCAAGGACTGGATGAACCTCCTTGCGCCAGAAACCATCAGCGAAAGAGCGGGAGGATAGTTCACCTCTTGGCAAAAAAAGAACCTGTTGCTGCAGACGAAGCCAACAACAACCTGGCACTTACATAACTATCATCTTGAAGAAACCCCGTGAGATATGTGCCGAAACGTTGGTATCAGTTAATCACTTGACAAACCAGCATAAAGCAGTATGTAACAGAAGTTTTCTTACTGCTTTAATATGACTATCAATATAGGAACAACATATTCCATTTCCGGATCTCAATCGGCTTCAGTGAAAGCGGACTGTAATGTAAGAGCGTTGAAGGAAAAGATGACTCTCCAGAAATATAAAACTCAGGCTATCTAGTAAGGGATCATTACTGATGGTGATTAAATCTAAACACCCAAGCCAACCTACCTCCTCTACCGTTTACCTCCTTGCTGCACCCCCGGACCCGATCAGATGCGCCGCAAAGGCTACAGTGCAGTGCCAAGTTTTAGACATTCCTCGCTTACTTGCTCGACTGCTCACCAGTCCTGTAGAGAAAGGCGTTCAGCGATGCACGCATGTCTTCGCTGATCATTTCCTAAACGAAAAGACGTTTCTGATGATAACGGCTTATCATTAATTGACCTACCGTACTCCTCTTCCGCAAGAAGGCGTCAGCTTCGTCGACAAATAATATCAGCCTAAATGCAAACAAAAAGGTAGATAATGAAAAACGTCAGTCACACTGCAGCTACCCTTTGCGTGAGCTGGATGCCCAGTCGAAAACTTTGTGTATAGCGGACACACCATCGCGTCCGAGGGGTGCCACGTCTCCGCCAGTCAAAATGGCATAGTCCATGGCTGAGTGCGCAGCGAGTCTCTGGAAAAACCGCACTTATGAAAAGTCAGCACTTCGCCATTAAAAATACAATGACCTACTTTAGCAAACATCGTTTTACCCGTACCAGGGGGTCCATAGAACAAAAAGTTCCTGTACAAACCGCGGTTGCGCTTCGTATTCTTCGTTGTGATTGCGATGTCTCGCAGACGCGCCTCCAGTTTGGGCTAAAATCAGTAGATTTAGTAATGGTCAATGCTGCTCCAAGTCAGAGAATCAATGCTGCGCTTACGTGTAAAATAACTCCAGATAGGGCGTCTTTCCTGCGGTTCACCAGCTGCATGACCGTCTAGAAAAAGGAGCATCAACATCTATAACTAAGGAGATAAGAACGCCTACTTGAATCGGGTGCTTCACAGTTTCCAGGGCGGTAATACGCGATGTCTCACGCACCAGACTCGGCTTACCCAATCTCGCCTCGACGTACCGCGCCAGAACGCCGGTACCCCTCTTGGCACTGTACGCGCCTAAAGCTATCAGAGTGAAACCTCCGGCCTAAAGCAAAAACGGTCAAACGAGTTTTACTTCCAGCAAGCAAGTCACTACAGCATAGAGCATCTTGTTGAAGTCGGAGAAGAACGCCTCTGCACTGGCTCCAAGCACCGTACCACTCGTTCTAAATAAAAATTACAAATTAGGTCCGTTGAAAATGCCGCCAAACAGCCACTCATTAAAATCAGAAAAAGCAGAAGCATAGGATTAGTGACATAAAACGTGAATTTACTACAAGCTGACAGTAGTGTACTAAAATTAAATCGTTAACCAGATAAATTTTTAACAAGGAAGATATTAAGTACGCAAGTAAGAAAGTATGTGCAAACAGAGATTAAGAACACTTCATAAAGGCAATTACAGGCTCTTAACTCAATAGATCAAGATAAGCCACGGTTAGAAGCCTGGAATAAACACTTCAATAGGTAAAAGTTTTGGAACCCGGGACGGTGTTCATTCTTCAGCAAAAAATATATATTTATATAGTATATCAGCTATCTCGAACAATCATCCAGAACATTCGGTTTCGCTGTTCACGCCTTAGAACATGGTCACGATCTTGTAGAAGAAAACGTTTCAGAGGTTGACTAAGAAGATCATAAATCTTAGTTGGTAATCAAAGAATCGTTGCACATCACAGCTAATAAGAACAGGCTGCGCGATGGTTGCATATCTTCTTTTGACATTACTGAAGTTTGGGATTAACTATGTCCTCTCACTCATGCTACAGAGTCTCAAAAAATAGCGTAACATTCGTTGCTAGTTTCCTGTTCCGAAGAAGGCCACTGTTATACAACTGAAACGCTGACCAGCTGTATAATAAAGGTTTCATAACATTAACCTTTGTTTTTTGCCCAAAATCATTAAATTGGAAACTTAGAAGATTCACCAAGAGTTCGCGGCATAGAATAAAAATGAACATTCGAAATTAAAGTTTATTAAATTAAATCATAATTAAAATGCGTCTTATATGTACGTGCATATGGCAATAAACCGATAACCGTAAACAGAAAAACTTGCATAAGCTTACTTAATGGCTTCAATGATGGTAGTTCGCCGTTCAGCTTCCTTCGTTCGTAACTGTTCTAGGTATATGTCTCTGTTTTCACGTTCAGCAATCGCCTTAGCTTTTGCTTCCGCTTCTGCCCTCTGTATTTCGAACTTCTTCCTGAGTTCAACCTCGTGTTCGATGGTGGCTAAGAAACCATTTTTAAAACTTTACGATAAAACCTTGAATTGGATGGCAATTGAAATTAACTTCTTAGATCTTCGCAGCTAGCAAAATACGTTAATTCTTCCTCAGATGCTTCGAAAACGTAGAGAGCAATTTCTAGTGATATTTGATACCAAAACGACGATCAATACCATCAATTACGCTTTCTTCATGGTCACACCATGTGCTGATTATTATATTGCATCATCAGACGAGTCAAGATGAAATGCAGCCACGAGGAGAGCATGACGGCATCGCCATATACCTCGCCCGTACTGGCAAGACAAAACCAGAACACCATGCTGCCCTGCTGTTCACCAGTCAAATAACTGCTGACCGTTTCTTGACTGACTGCATCGAAGTTACGTAGGATAAATTTTGTATGCAAGAAAATTCGTGGCCAAGATAAAGGTTACTCCTTTTATGCATTCGAATCCGACAAATCCGGACAATTTGAAGCCGACCTCACTGTCAGTTTACCACAGCGCCCATTTCGTTCTGTTATGCCCGTTAGCTGGATAGAATCCAATAGGATGTGAGTCACAGAGAAAGAAAGGTAAAATTCTATAATCATACACCTCATCCTAATTCTTAAAGCAAGACGAAAGACTGACCTTACCCACTTAAAGAAGGATATTTGTATAACTTCGGTGAATTCCACCCTGATCGAGACCTAATAACTTGACAAAGCAGTCAGCAGGTGCAACGCTTTGCATTAGAATAGTAATGCTTTCTGCCCACGGCTAACAGAATAATTTAATTAGATTCTCTGAATGGCAAGCCCTAACAAGCAACAAGAGATATGAAAAGTTGATGGTAACAACGACCAAACCGCATATAAGAACAATGACGGATAGTAGATATCAAAAGC